GGATGCGTTAGAAAGTGTGCATTTAAAGAGTTTTGTATATAGGCTAGATAAAGGCTTATATTTGCCTATTAATGAAGGTGGAGAGAACCTGAGGTTGGTAATAATACTATATTTTCTAAATTTATCCAAATTTATTAATTACAGTATTTACGAATATGATATTCGAAGAGTTCCTAACGTGGATATCGTTTTTTAATATCACCAAATATAACTTGCAGTGTAGGACAGCGACAGCTTATATGTTTGGCCAGAGCAATGCTACAAAACAGTAAAATTTTGGTACTTGATGAAGCTACTGCTTCGATAGATATTGAAAGTGATCAGCTTGTTCAGAAACTATCAGAGAACAATTTAAAGCTTCCACAGTAATAACCATTGCTCATCGACTAAATACAGTTTTAGATTCATCAAGGTACGAGATGTTACTTTAAATGTACTTACTTCGAAATAATTGTTACGGTATTTTATATTCGTATTTTTATATGCACAAATGTGTATATTTGCTTTCTAATTATGTAGACAAATGGTAATACTATCTGTTAAATGAGCACATTATCGTAAACCGTCAGCAAAGCGATGAGAGTTTGCACTAGTAATTTATGAAACGTAAACTTACATTGACACAGTTACTTTAGAATATGCTAGCCTTGCTGCAGTGTTGTCTGACAAATGTATCAATATCAGTTAATGCTAAACTTGAAGCTTTGATAATTTTTATTTTAGGATTCCAATATTAGAGAATGGTATCATTAAAGAACACGATCGACCCTCCAACTTAATTGCAAATAATAGCAGTAAATATTATCATATGCTTAAAGACGCAGATTTATTGCAAAATTGAATAATTAAACAATGAACTTTGATAAATGTGAGAAATTTCATTTTATCGTAATGACCTTTCAGTCTTTAATTTCCGACAGCTATATCCTTTATATAGGTAGCTTATTACGGTATAGCTATTTATTATGAGAAAAGAATATTTAGTAGGAAATTATCAGTTGCTAAGTAGATGCTTCACTGCACAGTTATTGGGAAGGTGAAGAATTAAACGGAATTATTTTTCGGAAACATTCTTCTTATTCTATTATTTGTAATAGCAATAACGAGAATAATTTCAAAATCTAATTACATGTATGTAATCTCATCCCAAACTGGTTTAGCATAAAAAACCTTCAAAATATACCGTAAGATATAGATAAATTACTAAGGTGTATCCATTTGGTATGCAGGTTTGTATGCCAGTAATAAAAAATTGTAATTTTAGACATGGAATTGCTATTTGTTTGATGTTATATTTACGACAATGTCCCTAGTCTTTGTTCGATGAGTATTCCCAGCTCGTACATATAGAACTAAGACTGGTTATTTTGAAGTAACTGCTATTATAATGTAATAAAACTAAAGTTTATAGGATTAGCGAAATAGTAAGCAGATAATTCGAAGTTATAGTATGATAATTGCTGCTATAGATGCTTAGGGTATACTAATATATACGCGTATATACCTCTACATTAATAATTTCACCGGCTTTAGTCGGCCAAAAATATTTTAAGTGCTTTTGTTAGCAACACCTTAAGATCGTAAATAATTATTATTTATTGAGCTGAGATTATGCTAACATCTACTAATGAACAAAATAAAATACTGTGGTGCTATACAACTAATTGATTACCTGTACTGTACATGTCAGGGATACTGTTGTACGGTTAAGAATAACCTTTATCCAAATTTCTTGTACAAAATAGAGATAACGTTTCCATTCGGTACAACATAAACTATAGCTAGAACAAACTTAGCAGGTATAATTCGAAGTTTATTTATTATAAAGAGTTGGCTGATAGCAACAAAAATAAAGCTAAGTACTATATGACAACTTTAAATTATAATACATATGGACAGATATCTCAAATTTATCAAAAATATTTTAAATATTCGTGATATAAGTGTTTGATCATATACATAGTTATGCTAGGAATATACTGAAGGACAATATAGTCGCAGCTGTCTCATTTAAGAGTATAAAGTATTTAATTCGTTAATAAATTAGTAAGACAAAATGTATTTACATCAGTTCCTTACATGATAGCTACCGAGA